GTGACATGCGATTTGTACTCAAAGTCTTTTTTTATCGTTTATTGTTTGTTATTTTTCTTTCGCTATTAAATCCTATACTAAAGTTATATTCTGCACTTTCAACTCGTTGATAATTGTTAGAAAAAGATATGTAATAGTGGAATTATATTACGTGTCAATCGATGAATTCTTGGAATATATAATGTATATAAAAATATAAGAAATGATATTATATTTCATGGGATAGTTTTCATAAGGACGGACCTAATATCGCGTATGCATTCAAAAAAAAAGGCAAAAGGCGAAATGCTTATAGCAAATACGCTTGAATACACTAGAGTTTTTTTTCATAGATAAGATTCAGTTATGTATAATTTGTTTGATAAGACGACCTATTGCATCATTGGGTCATCAACTTACATAAGTACTGTATTCAAAACTATTACATATTATAATGGTACAATAACTTCTAGTGATAAATGTACATAAATGTTGACAACTTTGAGAAAATTTCAAACATGAAACAGGCTTTACATTAATACGACATGATATATACAAAAAATGTAAAATAATAAAATTTTACAAACCAATGCAAAATTGCTTCCTGATTAGCAGAAGTGCATGCAATCTTTTTCTTCATGAGTATGTAGAATTAGGAAAGATTCACAATAACTTAAAGGTATCTATAAATTATATTGTGGCATTTCTATACAAGTTTTATCTTACATTAGCATGTAAGAACATCACATATGAGTATTTGTCAGAATAAAAGTTGCGTATGATCTTGTATGTGTACTGTGGAAGCTTAAAAATTGTGTTATTATATATGTGTTTGCGACATGCATCGTTGTGCATATATTATTGTGAGGAGTTTATGCGTAAGAAATAGATACAATTATCTGAAATTAATTTGTATCATTGAAGATGACATCAGCAAACAAAAAAACGCTGATTTGCAGTAACACGCGAGTTTTCTATAAATTTTCTGCAAACAAATGCATTTCATTTTATGCTTCCGCTCAAATGCACTCTCAAACAACTTTGTTCTTGCTTTTTTTTTCTTCTTGAATCATTGCTGGAGGTTCATTTTTCTTTGATTTATTTTTCTTTGATCTTTTTCACTTATATAATTCATTGTTTTTTTTTTCTTTTTTTGCACTTATGTGTCGAAGGTTTAAAAAAACATAGAAACTTGTTATCACTGTCGCTCATTATTGTAAATTTTCAATTTTTATTTCTCTGTTATCAGTAAAAATACGAACCACAATGTTTGATATGAAAATTGGTACAAGTTCTTTTATTATACCTCAGGTAAGTTGAAAAAGATTTCATGATATGTAATTATGATAGTTCAAGCGAAAAAAGCTAATAATACATATGCATTATAGTCCGATAACAGCACGATACATCTCGCCATGGCCATAAATGATACTTTTGGATTTTGGATTCTCCTTGTTTTTCTGATTCCTTCAATAATCTGTGGCATTTTTGATCTCTATCATTTTATTTTTGGTCGAACACTTCGCCAGGCTCTGTACAATCATTTAATCATTGTTATACTTTTCTTTTGTTTAATCTTTGAATGCACGGCCATATTTTGGCTTGTTTATAATTATGGTACTGGTCATCCGTTATCATCGACTGAAACATTTTGTTTTATTTGGCATTTTATTGATCATACTGGTTTTCTTTTAGTAACAATACTTGTTGCTTGGGCATCAATTGAACGGCATATTCTCATTTTTCATGATAAATGGTTATCAACAAGAAGAAAACTTTTTTTTATCCATTATTTTCCAATAATTATTCTAATTGTTTATTCAATTTTATTTTATATAATTGCTTTCTTTGTTTTGCCATGGAAATATACATTTAATTATTTAGAAATTCAATGTGGATATAATGAAGCTCTTTTTAGTCCACAAATTATTGCCGTATGGGATAGCGTAGTGAATACTATTTTACCTGCTTTAATTATTGTTATATTTAATATAGCTCTTGTTTTTCGTGTTTTATATCAAAAACATCGATTAAATCAAAAAATTAAATGGAGAAATTATCGAAAAATGGCTATTCAAATGTTATCCATATCTTCAATCTATTTTTGTCTGTATTTTATACCTATGATTCTCTACACTGCTTATGCATTAGGTTTATCACGTCGTTTTGCTCATGATTATTATGACGCTAGCTTATATCTCTTTTATTTTATCATCATTTTAATGCCTTTTATATGCACTGTCTCATTGCCAGAACTTCGAGCAAAATTCCGTATAAATATTCAAAGAAACCAGCAACAAATTCAATATATTGATGTTCCACAACTTTTGAACATTATCCGACGAACTTTTCATCGATCAATAGCAGTGAGGCCAATCAATCAATAACTATTTCGTACTTTGTAAGGAAAAATACAAACAGTATCTTCAAATGAATCTAATTCTTAGTCACTTTGCTAAAAGAAATATCTAATGAATATCTATTGACAGGTGATTTAGTAAAAAATGCTTTTTCTCTTGTTAGCATCAATAGATGATGAATCGTGACGCTAACTACTCATTACATTATTATTGTTTTATTTTTGTTCCTTTTTGATGTTGTCCTTTTGATCTTTCACTAATCATGGTGTGTCTTATTTATTTTCATTCATCATCAAATAAAATATGTAATTATCAAATTCTATTAAGATCACTGCAACTAGTAGCACAAATAGATCTGGTGGGCGGTTTATGCTGCACTCTCGTTGCATTAAGCAAATACAACCTCATAGTTCGTTATTATTTTAGCCTACGTTATAAACGGAAGTTGAGCCTATTGATACGATCTCTAAAAAACTCTCACACTTATAATGATAAAGCAAAGTTTTGCGTACAGAAATCTTGGAATAAAATCAACCAATGCATGCTGCATGTGCTTGTACTTTAAAATAATATTCACCATTGAAAGTATTTATTGAACAATATACGACAATCTCGTAGTGTTCATACTATAGAACAAAGAATCACTGCAAATATCATCGATCTAATAATGCATAAGATTTGCAAACAAAGACAAAACCTAAGTTATGTTAAGAAAAAAATCAACAATAAAAGTAGACAATCATCAAGTTTTTTTTTGCAAGAAGAACAGTATACTTAATGGATGATGTTGGAGTGTTGATATTGGCTATTCTCTTTTACCTATGCAAAATGTTGTACTTCTTGTGTTATGTATGTCTGTATAGAAAAAAATCATTCAATACGATAGACATCAAGTATAATGCACTTAGATCCTCAATTAAAGCATTCTGTTAACATGGTTCCTGCGACAATGAAAGTCAAATTTGAAAGTTTCATACAAAAAAAAACACTCAAAATTAGCTTGTCAATAGTTATTAGACATCTTTTTTAAAAACGAGTCTTTTATATACATGCATAAATGAAAAACGAAAAGAAATGATTGAAATTTAAATCGAGTATTTAAACGTATATGTTTCAATGTCTATCTGCATGATTAAAAGTAAATAGTACTATCTTATGGTCCATTGAAGAGAGCAAAAATAATATCATGGAAAATACGGTAGATCGTGAGACTCTTCTGAATACATGTCTCGGAACAAAACTTTTCTGCTAACTATAAATACTTGTATCATAATAAGAAATTCTCTATGTCTTACGTAGATGATCATACAGAAAATGTCATAAAATAATTGAATTGATACTTTTTGTTAGATTGAGACATGTGCATTCTTCTTCATTTATGCGTGCAAACGTTTCCTATAGCTAAACTTAGTTCTCATATTCGCACACAATATTCATTGAATTTCTAAAATTAGTCAAAAGACTGCTATGAATATGAAAATAAGGGTATATCGCTTGAAATTTCAATAAATTAAAAATAAAGATAAACCAAAATCTTCTTGAAAACTACCTAAATGATGTATCCCACTCAAGTTGTGAGAATATTCAATGTTTTGAATAAAAAAGGAAAGTTTTTTCTGGACACATAATCTAACTTTCACGTGATTGCTACTGTTTCACTCAGGATTTTCACGATTGGGTCATATTTTGTAAGTCTTCAAGTAATGAAACATAGTAAAATGACAAAATATTTTATCCGATAACTAGAGTGTCGAGTAGATTAACAGCTTAAATCATAAATTTGATATTTTTCTTTTTGAGCTGCTTTCGAAAATGGCTCGCTTTTTCTTGCAAAACTGGTAAAGAATTGTATCCAATTCCATATGACAAAGTGTATTTCATATGAATACTCATTTTGGAATCAAAATTATGTATACATCGATGTACAATTCACAATTGACGGTTTTCAGTGACACCTATTGATGGTATTAAATGTTTACCGAAACATTCATTAACATTAGCAAACATTACTTATTTAAATAAGACCAACTAAATTCTTCAATAAATTAGTAAAGAAACATGACTTGCATCATGTGATTGCTGCGATCACATGTAATCGTTCAAATACGTGTGCCATGCTTGACAGCAAAGATTGGAGAACCTTGTTTTTTTTGCATTCTCCCTTCAATATACATACACTATTTCATTTATTGCGACAGAAAGAAAAAAAAAACAGCGTTAGCATTTTTTTTTTGTAAGCACGTCATAATACTTCTAAAAATAGTTTCTTTTTATTAAAATATGATTTTCAACGAATTTCGATTAACTGGAGATTTTCTTCATGGATTTGCCATATTATTATTGATTTTTAATATTATCAAAACACGATCGTGTTATTCAGTTTCCGGTATGACGACAATACTCTATGTAATTACCTTTTTATGTCGTTATTTGGATTTATTTTCCTTTAACATTTCTTCAATTGATATTGTTTTAAAATACAATACTATCTTCAAAATCTATTATATTGTGTCAAATTGTCTTATTCTTTTTCTTATTTATGGTTTATTTAGAAAGACTATTGATAAATCACATGAATCATTTCCAATCTTTGGTTATCTCATTTGTGCTCATATTCTCAACTGGAGTACATGCTATTTCACTAATTATAAAAATATTGATATGGAATATTTCTGGCGATTTTCAATTTATTTAGAAATATTGGCTATTATTCCTCAATTGAGTTTAATATATAAACAAAGAACGATTACTAAAACAATGACATATTATTTAGTTATGTTAGGATCTTATCGAGTATTTTATATTCTTAACTGGATCTATCGTTATAATATGGAATATTATTGGGATCCGATTTCTTTCTACTGTGGATGTATTCAAACAATAATATATATTTATTTTTTCATTTGCATTTATCCACAATTAAACAATGAAAATCAATATCAATCAGTTGATCTTACAAAAGATATTATTAGTGCTGTTGATACCAAAGAAAATATAAATCAAAAGTCAACATATGATATACCTTTGATTCATAATGTTGTTTAAAAGAATTTGAAGTATTCATTTACTGCTTGAACATATTCAATATTTACAAAACCTATAGTTAGCGTGAATAAATACCGATATTTTAATATATTTTTTTTTTCGTATATCTTACTAATAAGTGATAAAAAAGCGACAGCGAAGAACATAAAAGTTTATGTAGTATATTCAAATTTATTGCTTCATTTGTCTTTGTGTGTGCTTTCAAAGTAGATATCTTCTCTGTGAATTTCGTACTATAATAAATACACATATTTATATGTATAAAAAAAAAACCATTTACTCGATTTAACGATATAATTCTATGTCTACTGTATTTTTTTCTGTTACGCACATTCATATGGTTGTATATGTCTATATTTCTATATCTCTTTTGTCGATTATTTTCTTGTAAGGACATAAAGATTGCCAGTTATTTGAACAATAAAAAAATAGAAAAAAAACTATTCAGTGTAGCAACCATTATCAATCGTGAGTGTGGATGTGGTGAAAGAAAGACCAAAATCCTCTCACACACTCTCTCACAAGATATATGGATGTCAAAAGTGTTTGTCGTGCATACTTGCAAGATGATCAGACAGACAAATTTTTGCTTAAGAATGGATGTCAGAGTTCAAAATTTCTCTTATCAACTTTCAAAGCTTGCTTTTACAATCATTCTAGCATTATATTGTATGTAAGCACAAGATTTTTTTACAAAAAAATTTGTATGTTTTCGCATGCGACAATACAACGTCTGTATATGCAGTATTTTTCATGTAGTTAAACACGTCTTTTTCAGTAATTGTCAATGACTGAACGTAAGAAAGGAAAAAAAAAGAAATATTAATAAAAAAAAGATATGTAAAATTCATTCGTAATAATGATCTTTTCTTAAATTTTTTATTACTAATGAATTTTATTCAGATGATTTACCTAAAAAGGATATTCATGTTTGCATCCTTCTTTAGAAATATCATGAACACCAACGTGTGATTTGACAACGCATGAATAAAATGAATCTTCAGTTAATAGTTGTTTTCGATTCCAAATATTATTTCTTTCATCGCTCAAATCAATGATAAAAATTCATTTGTTCTAGAGTTCGTCTCATATATGTTCTTCTTCAAGTACATCTATTGTCTCCTTTATTTACTCATGTGTCTGATTGAACAATCTGAAATCTGTGTCTTTATCAAGCTTATATTTACTCGATTTAATCTTTTATAATCATCAGCTCAGAATTTCAAATAAATGTTGACACCATCGTCGAAATGATGACTTGAACATAATTGTGTCCTTCGACTCTCGTAGTAAGTTGAAGAAAAGTTCACATCTTTTTTTTTTTTTAATCTGTAAAAGCAGGAATGTATTCAAAAAATAATGCGCAACTATATCTACACATTCTATCAATTTTACTATAACATGAGTTTAGTTCATTGATAAATAAATATAGAGAAAGATGTTTATTTATACATTTAACGCTTCATTAACTCATATTGTTTTGACCATTGTATCCTAAAGTGTATTTAGTACAAGAACATAACTTTTGCAATGTAAATCCTCAAGTCAATTCAATAAACGAAATTGAAACTTGATTGAATTAGACCAATAGTTATTAGTTTACAGAACTACTTAAATGATTTTAATGAGTTCTTCAAAAGCGTTGTTCTGCTACATGCACCGTAAACTTCTTCTACTAAACAGACAATGTTCTTACGCTTCCTTTTCTGTTTGAAAAAAAGAAAAAAATTTCAGATTAAAAAATTTCAAAATGAGAGATAAACAATGCAACAAAAATAAAATCAATATCAGACAAAGTGTATTTATACACAGGTAATGTTCATTATCCAATCTGTTTGATGTGGTCGCTGTGTTTTAGTATGAGAATGCACATGTACCAGAATACGACTCGTATTCGTCGGTAAATGGAATGCACGTGCTAATGGACCATTATTACATAGACTATACTTCAAAACTCGATCACGCAGATTTAAAGCCTTTTCATCTTGAAAAAAGGGCCCATGAGAAAAAAGAACACCATACGCATTTCGTAAATTATAAGGTTTATCATTAAGTGTACCGTAGAGCTCTGGTGTCAAGACAGTATCCATCACTAGATGATCAGATATACACTCTTCAGTATCATTACATTGACCTTGAATTTGTTCAAAGACTTGGAGACGAAAACTGGTAGAAAAAGTTTCCATTCCATTCGGTGCAACTGAAAAAACGAGAGGTAACGGAGATGCGACGGTTGCAAAACTCAAGCCACGCAATTGTGGCATGTTAAAGACGTAACCAATGGATTGACCAAGACCAAGAATGATCCAGAGAATAGCTCCAATAGTTGCAAGTGTATATCGTTGTTTATAGGCATGTCTTGTTTTTTGTTTGGGTGACAATAACACATCGCGACCACAAATCATTTCTAATACTCTACTCTCATCTTTGGATGAAAAACCCGTTGGTTGATCCATTTTCGCTGGATTTTCAAAAGTACCACCTAGAATATCCCATAGTGGTAGATCACCATAATTTTTTCCATGATCACGTTTATTGCGTAGATGATGAATTCGATGAGCTTCAGGACGTTGAAAGAAATAACCTATCCATCGTGGTGTCTTGATATTCATGTGATAAACATATTCACCAAAAGCAGCAAAAGCTGCCAACCAAACGCTTGATTCTTTGGAGAGACCGAGTACTGGATAGAGCAATATCGTCATAATAATTGAATCAACGAGAATTTCTTGAGGAGCTTTGTAAAAGGACGTTATTGTCTCGATTCGTTGTGCACTGTGATGCAGTTGATGAAACCACAGCCATAAGAAATAGACATTGTGTCTGGCACGATGAAACCAATAGAAAAACCATGTATGAATGATATAAGCAATAATGCCACCCATCATAGGTGAAACAAAGTCACGTAAATGAAATAAATGTGCATCAGGTAGCCACGCTTCCCATGTATAAGTACCGACGACCACCACTAATAATTGATAAAAATTAATGAGTAGAACACGTTTCCACCAGCCTGGTACATATGTCAATGGTTGATCCGGAAAGAGACGTTCCAACACCATTAGACATCCTAGTCCACTGACTATAATCACTAATCCAAGTAACATTTTCTCTTTATATCTTGATATATATGAAAATAATTATCTAAATATATATTTATAAGCAGAAGTGTACTAATTGAAACTTGTATTGTTGATTCTTTTTGTGATTAGATAAATGAATACAAGTTTCAATTTTAAATATAGCCGTACTTACGTGTTAAAAAATATTTATGCTGCAATAAAGAAAGAGTATCAACATGACGCAATATAAATAAATTTACTTTTCAAAAAATTAGATTGTTTCCTAAGTGACAGCGTCATTTTTTTATGCTTGTTACCTCCGACAAACACGCACAACCGTAACAAGCTTTGTTTTTCTCTCACTTTTTTACCATTCTCACACTAAATACGTGGCAAGTGTTACTTCACATATGATTCATACGCTAATATGACATCATTGTATAGCATACGTCATGTATGAGTTTCTTCGTTTCTTTTCTATGCATAATAAATGTGACCATTTTACTTGGCATTTTATTCGTTATAAACATGTCATCATCGTCTTCATCAACAACTGGTACAAAGTGGTATACTGTGCGTCAATTGAAAATCTTTCAGTTTGTATTTGGTTCTTATCTAACAGTTCATTTTGTACAACTAATTCCTCATGTGACGGAATTATTTAGTCGTACTGGTATGATTGCTAATGCACAATGGAATCCGACATATGGTTACTTTCCAAATATTCTTCATTGGATTGATTATTCTCCTCAACTATTGAGTACATTTGTTATTTTCTTGACATGTTTATCAGTAATGTTTGCCTTGCGCCTTATTGCGCCACGCCTAATCGCTTTTCTACTATGGTATGGATGGGCATGTCTTTTAAATCGTAATGTACTCATTTTGAATCCTGGCATTCCATACGTTGGTTTGCTTCTCTTGGCATTTAGTCTTGTTACTTTTACAAACTCACACAAAAATGATAAAGAACATAGTGAACTTGAAATTAGTCCACAAGTCTTTCCTTGGCTCTATTGGGGAGGTTGGACTTTGTATGCGTTAGGATATACAATAAGTGGCTTACACAAATTACAATCACCTAGTTGGCTCGATGGTAGTGCATTGAGTCATGTCTTAAAGTCTCCTTTATCACGTGATAATGCTTTATGCCAGTTTTTACTTCATACTCATCCAATTATTCTTCAAACAAGTACATGGGCATCACTTTTTGCAGAAATTTCGTTTTTTCCTCTTGGTCTTTTTTATCATACGCGCAAACTGTATTGGTTTGCTTTTCTTGCTCTGCATATTGGAGTTCTATTACTCGTCAATTTTACGGATCTCACATTCGGAATCTTAACAATGCATTTTTTTCTATTTGATCCTCGTTGGTTGTTTTAAATAAACATCTTCCCATCTTAAATATTTTTAGTATAGAGCCATTATTAAATCATTGAAATTGCTTAAGTCATGATGAATGATCTTGACTTACTTTGAACAAAAAAAAAGAATCAGAAATTCATTTTACAGTTTGAACAGCTGTCTGAGTAGCTTTTATTTTCAGAAGAAATATAAAAATAAGCTTGAATAAAAAAACAATTTTTTTTTTGAATAATCAATAGCATGACAATAGTTTTTATATATACAGAGTGACTAGGAAGTAACTCCCTAATTTAAATCCTTTGTTACTCCGAAACAGAAACAGATATCGTAACATTTTTTTTCATTGTTTTGAAGCATATTTGATACCATTTTGTTTTAAATAAAACAATATAGTTAATCCTTTGACTGTCCAAGATCAAGCACGAATTCGATCTAAAGAATGTCTGAAAAGTAAGTCCTTATTTTGAATCATTTATAACTCATAAACAAGAATAGATATCTTGACAATTTTTTTTACTACTTTGACATATATATGATACCATTTTATTGCAAATAAATTAATATGATTATCGG